TCACGAAATTTGGCGGCTGGGATTAATCCGAACAATTCCTCAGAGCACTCCCCGTGATAGATGCGATAAAATACGCAAAGAGATGCAACATCTCTTCGCAGCGCCAGTGAATCGAGCCGATCGGAAAGCACTCGGTCGTCGACGATTCGAGCCGCTCTGCGCTGGATGCGGTCAAGTGGAAGAAGCTGGTACTGGGGAGCCCCAGCCCAGAGATGGGAACAGTATTCCATGTGCGGCCCAACCTGCGCCTTGTAAAGTTGCAGGCGGTGTGCCGGCATGAAATACTGTCCCGCTCTGCTGAGCACGCCAAGCTTTTTAGAGGCCAATTTGGCCTTCCCTTCCAAGTGACCACGAAACTGCACGTCACTCGATATGTCGACGCCGAGGATTCCGATACTGGCTGAGGCAACAAGGGGAGTGCCTTGAAACTGAGGGGATATGACAAAGGGGTTCTTTTTAGCGGTTAACGCGCAAACTTGTGTCTTCTGGGGGTTAAACTGGACTAGATTTAGTCGCCCCCAATCCGAGACTCTGTCCAGCAGAGACTCGACTTCAGACACAAGTTTGTCCCGGCACTCGGAGAAGTTTTTTCGAGAAATATTGGCTCGGCCGGTGTAAAGAGCATCACCAGTGCTGTCATCTGCATAGCAATGAATGTTACGGGTATGCAACATGTCATTGATATGCAGAAGACACAGCGTTGGCGATAGCACGCAGCTTTGTGGAACACCAGCATTAATAGGCTTGCAATCGGAGCTTGCACCGTCTACAACGACTTTGATGCTCCGATCTGCAAGAAAGCTGGTGATCCAATCGCACAATTTCTCGGGAAGCCCATAGGAAGGGAGCTTCGAAAGAAGCGCTTTGTGCCAAACCCGATCGAAGGCCTTCGCAATGTCCAAACTAACGGCCAATGCCTCCCCCTTGAACTCTACTGCCTCCGCCCATCTGTGAGTTAGGTAGACCAGAAGATCACCAGCTGACCGACCACGGTGAAAACCGTATTGGCGGTCACTAATCAGCTGGTGATCTTCAAGGTACCTCATGAGCTGGCAGTTTACAATGGACTCCATTGTTTTGGAGAACAAGGAGGTGATGGCGATTGGCCGGTAGTTGGACGGGTCAGAGCGGTCGCCTTTTTTAGGGATCGGGTGGACGTAAGCCGTCTTCCATGATTTTGGTACTACGCCTAGGGAGTAGGAGTACCGGAAAAGACGCGTTAAAACCGGTGCCAACTCTGGAGCACACGTCCTCAGCACAATTGGGGGGATTCCGTTAGGCCCACTCGACTTGTGGATGTCCAGGGAGAGGAGTGCTTTGCGAAACGAGCGCTGTGTGAAGTGCACTTCCGGCATGGAGCACTCACACCGCGGGATGGTCGGCGGCGTACTCCCCCCGTCATCGAGAGTCGAGTTAGACGCAAAGAAAGAGCCTAGAAGATCGGCTTTCTCCTTTGCGGTATGGGCCAGTGAGTCGTCCTCCCTGTGCAGAGATGGAAGAGATGGCTGACAGAAATTCCCCTGGACAGCCTTGGCGAGAGACCAGAATGCACGGGTTCCAGAAGGAAGGCGAACTAGTTTCTCGCCAATTCTGCCTATGTGCTCTGACTTTGCCTTGGCAATGACTCTTTTAAAGGACCTAGAGGCGGAATTATACTTCTTTTTTAGAGCGCTGGTGTTTACATCCCGGGACGCTGATGCATCGGCCCAGGCTTGGTAGCACTCCTGCTTATAGCATGATGTTATTTTACAGGAGCGACCAAACCATGGCTGAGACTTGCCTCCAATGGGCACCACAGATGAAGGAATAAAAAGTTCCATACCCTGAAGTACCACATCAGCGACAGAATCCGCAACAACGTTGGGATCGTCCGGCGAGAAGCAAACCCGCCCCCAAGGGTAGGATGCAAAGAAAGACCGCATCCCATCCCAATCAGCTGACCTATAGTGCCAAACACGGCGGCAGCCTGCAGAATGCAACCGTGATTTCAGCGTGAGTGGCACCACACTCCGGACAAGACAATGGTCCGAGGAGCCTAAAGGGGCGTCGACGGAAATCTGATATCCGTCCGGGTGAGAGGTCAGCAGAAGGTCCAACAGGGAAGGTGCATGATCCTCCACATCTGGAATCCGCGTAGGCGAAGTAACCAGTTGTGTCAGACCATATGCCAAGGCAAAATCATGAACAGATCTCCCCGCATGATCGGTTAAACGTGAACCAAGCCATTAGGCGTGATGGGCGTTAAAGTCGCCGAGGATCACGATCTCTGCGGAGGGGATCTGCTGTAGCAACGAATCTGCAGCCATTTGGACGTGGTCGAATAGTCGGTCTGTTTCGGCATTACCGCTATGGGACCTATAGAGGCACCCGTAGACGCGCGGATGGTCGTCGCTGTCTACGCGTAGCCAAAGGATGGACAGGTCCGAACCTTCAAGTCTGCCGAGGCGTCGAGAGCAGATGTCCTCTCTGACGTAAACGCAAACTCCAGCCCGAGGCACAAAGGAGTGTTCCAGTTTGTACCCCGGGTAGGAGAGATACGAGACATCAGCCGGAGAGGACACCTGCGTCTCGGTCAGAAAGAGCAGAGCCGGCCTCGCCGTCTCGAGATGGTAGTGGACGGCGTTTAGGTTATAGTGAAGTCCCCTGATATTGCAGAAATTCACGGACAGCGTGGCAGGGGTCGCCTTGGTCTTGTTGCTCCGTTTGCCCCGAGCAGTTGTAGTCTTGAGCGGAATTTTGCCCCCGCCCCCCCCCCCCAGAATACGCGGGGCAGCCTGAGCACCCACGCTCAGAAGTGGAGAAACATGGTCGTGGATGCTCAGCGAGGGATTCTCCAGGGGTGCTGGTACCCTCCTGAGGTAGTCGATCATTATTTAATTCCGCTACCATGTTGATGGGGGGGGGGGGGGGATTTGGGCCTCCGGCCACCTGCACTCACCAGACGAAACGCGGAAGCAGAGCTTCCACTTCACGCCGGTATTCTGTGAGGTCGTGGTTCCACCCCGGTTTGAGCCGGCCCATACGTGCAACAGCAAAGCTGCCGCGTGGCTCTACCGCTGTTAAAAGGTCGGTTAAGGTTGGGAAATAAAACAAAATTATGTGATAAGTTGGCAAATGATTATTCGGTAAAATAAAATTCTGCAAAACGTTAGTTGGCAAGTGATAATCTGCCAAACAATTTTCGGCGAAAAGGCAGAGATCCGTGTAAAATATTAACGTGATTCTGACGTGTTTCGTATGGTGCATGAAGAAAACCGGAGACCCTTTTTCACAACTTTGAGTTGACAACGTGTCTGCAATAAAATTCTTAATTCATATTTTTTCCGATGATATATGAGTCACATCATCATCGTATGTCGGACAGTAAGTATGTGTGTCACCCTTGTTTGTTAAATTTGCCTAAATTTTGATATAGTCAATACAAACAGAAGTTATGACCCATAAAGTACAACGTACAATGGATAAGATAAATGAATGGGATTATTTAGAACAAAGCTATCGTAAATCTAGATACGTTTCCAGTATAACTCACAATACTAAATCTAAAGTAAATACCTTTGCAGTATATTTCATTACATTTAGACGAAAGTCCTTAATTAACTGTAAAAATTGATTTAAATGTAACATTAGTGTGAATTTTGCCATGGGCTACGGTTTAAAAAAATCTCCTTAATATATTTACAAAAGAAGTAAAATAGACAATAATTTTCGATATGGCTTAGCAGGTATCAAAATGCCACGATTTATCGACTAAAGTTGACAAACGAATTTGTAACCTTATGGTTTGAAGTTTGTTAGATTTCTCCATTAGCTGCAGAAGCCACATAACATCATGTGGACTGAATGTTCGTTTGTTACTTTAGCCTTATATGAAAAAAAGGATAATAAATAATAATAAGAGTGAGCCCCGTTGCCGTAATATGCCATGTTGTCGGAGTTTGCAGACGTTTTCAGAGTATTTTTAATTACTTAACGTTCAGCTACTTTGATGACATTAGAAGCGTGTTTGTTCAGTGACTGAGCGTATTTAAATTACATAATACCCACACGAGCAAACCGTATTCGATCTTTCTGTGTAACTGAAATTGCTAAAAGTTAATTAAGCACATGCTCGTTGGTGAAGGAATACAACATGACAAAGATTTTTTAAATGTTATATAACAATAGGATTTTTCCTATATCGTTCGTGATCCGCTTTACCTGATAAGAAGAAGTCCTTGCCTCGTAAGGAGGGGCCGCTATGGGGCGGTTGGTGCTGGTGTAATCGCGGATTTGTGCGAAAGTATTCCCGTGGCCATGTCAATATGCGGTGAAAGTGAAACCATAACGGTTTTTAAGTCAGTGCGGGTTCGATATAACCCGTCCCTACCGCCGTAAAGGCATTTCCGTATGTAAAAAGGCCATACAATGCCGAAGCGCTGTGACTACTCAAACAACGATTTATGTTCATGTAGTATATATTTAAGGCGTGCTTTTTATTTTATTGCTGTCATTTCAGGTAAAATATAAAAAGATGAATAATGATGCCACATTTTTCAAAGCCAAATTAGTCGGTCACATTAAATGTGGAATATGACGCGCTGCAAATGATAAATGAAGCCAATTTATGACGTTAATGTAGATAAATGTATTTAGGTTTCTCAAATTCAGCTTAGTGTTTATTATTCTATGTTATGTTAAAATTATAAAAGACTATAAAACCTTTATATGACTTAATGTTATTTATGAGTCATGTGACGGCAGCATAAAAGATACTCCCATCTACGTCTCAGACTACTTTAGATCTGCCGATGGGACCCTAGCCTTTGCGATACGATCCTCAATTTTTTTTCTCCAGGCTGAGTTGGCGCTACTTTGAGTAATAACATGTCCAGTCGTGGGAAACTAGACGCCAGTAATATGGCAATCTGCCAGTGCGGCGCCAATAACATTATTATTAATATTATCCAAGCTAATGCTGTAGAGATCGATCATAGAGAAATATGTTACAGGTACTCAGAATGATAGCTCTACTAGGTGATAGGCGTGAGTTCATGTATATATGCATATTTAAGTGACGACCGTGACAAGCAAACCGACAAACGGGAATAGCGAAATAAGGATTACTCTTCTCTTAATGATTTCTTATACATATTTACGCGAACACTATACATTGATTAAAACTACTTTTACGGATTTTATCGCGTTTTATTTATATTATTAATATCCGATGTTTCGGGTGCTTTCCAGCACCCATGGTCACGAGGGACTGAGGTGACAGACGTCCCGATGTCAAAGTTAACCCTTATATAGGGCAAACAAAGAGATCAATTAGAACCCGCGTAAAAGAACACATAGCTGACGTGAAGCATCAACGTTCCGGGAAGTCTGCAGTTTGCGATCATATTATAGATGGCCCCAACCATTACATCAGATTTGATAGACCACAAATCCTCGCGAAAGAACATCGATTCCTACCAAGGATGATACGTGAGGCTATTGAAATTAAAAAAACATCCTAATTTCAATAGAGAAAGAGGCTGGGTACTACGACCTGCTTGGGATCCTATAATTAATAAAATTAAAACTAAACCCAAGCATACCACTGCAAGACTTCAAAATACAGTTAGTTCATTCTGCGTAGATCGGACCAAAAACAATAATCAAAAAGCTGAAGGTACTCCGGGTTAACTTTGACATCGGGACGTCAGTCACCTCAGTCCCCCGTGACCATGGGTGCTGGAAAGCACCTGAAACGTCGGGTATTAAAATTAATATAAATAAAACGCGATAAAATCCGTAAAAGTAGATTTAATCAATACTCTTCTCTTCTTAAAATAGATATTAAAATAGACTCCTCATACAAAATGTTCACGTCACTGTCTTAGGGAATAATTACCAGTTCTAAACAGGAATTAAAAACCAGTTTCAAATTACGGTATAGTTTCTACTCAGCTTCATAAAATGGTTTTAGTTTTGTGGCTTCCGAATCGACCTCAGGTTAAGGTATTCAAGGTCCAAAGGACCGAATTTTTCAGGTTCTAATTCGAAAATGAAGTCTTTCTGGCGATGTATTTTAGTAATATTTTCTTATTATTTTAATTATATCATAAGAAAAAGAAATGTATAATTAAATTTTCATTAACGTCTTGGTTTTTGTTCTGGTTCTATCATAAAAGCCGTTGAACATTGGGTTTTAACAATTTGTAAACCCAACCTTATAAATCCCTTTTTATTACTAGCCAACATTTTGGAGCCATAACTAAACTAATTATGAGCAACATCGTCCATTGTCATTTTAGAATTAATCAGATTGAAATTTGATTAATTAAAATTAAAATATTATAATGCTAATAACTAAAATTAACTTTATATCGTTATAGTTTGAATAATAATTTTGTAAAGTTAAAGTTACAGCCTATAGGCGCTGTCCTATTGCCATCGCTCGCACGATGATGCGATGCGATTTCATCGTTCGATGAATCCGCACGCGCGATTTCTTCAGTCACATTGCATGATCGCATGACGTTCAATAGGACATTCCACAGATATTAGTATGTTTAAACGCACGGTCGCACGATCATTTTCGTCGGACGCATCGCTTCATCATGAAAGCGATGACAATAGGACAGAGCCATATACGTCCCACGGCTGGGCACAGGCCTCCTCTAATTTCTGAGAGGATTTTACGGGAATAAAATGTCCGCCGCGCTACCCTAATACGTTTTGGCAAACTTCTCAGATATGCAGGTTTTATCACGATGTTTTCCTTCACCGCCGAGCACGTGTTAAATCAGGACTTAAAATTGCAATTAACAATTTCATTAGTGCCAACGAGAATCAAACTCGGGTTGTTCGCATACTGTGAAATTTATAGCCAGCACGTAGCCCCTGAACTACCTAGCGTAGCAGAGTACAAATAAAAAGTAAGGCAAATTTTCCCTACAACGAAAAACCCATATTGTAGTCAACCTTTACGGGCTAACAAAGCAGAAAGGTAGAAGTAATTAATAAAATATATATTTTTTAATCAATATAGATGTGGCGGCGCTGTCATCGCGCCGCTAGCGAAACACACCGAAGCCTAAATCACGCTATCAAAATTCCGAATCATAAACAGTATATATAGAACATCTCCGAACTATCACACGGAGTGTTGGCCGCTCCCCAGGCAGAACACCTTGCCCGGCGGGAGATCTCCCCTTTTCCTTTCATGGTCACAGATTAAATCAACTCAAAATAGAGTATATCGTGTATTGGCGGTACCTGGGTGTCTGTCTTCTGAAATAAGAATTATTTGTAATCTATACTCTTACCGTTACAGCCTTTTAGAAGTCCGCTGCTGAACATAGGCCTCCACCATAACTTGCACAGGATGAGCTAATTAATTAATGGATAACCTATCACCAAACATAATTTGCCATGTTGTGACGATGTACGTGAATCCACTACCCCTACTATCGTTTCGCGAGGCTTTAAAAGAAAACTAAAACAGGAGTTGGGCAGCAGCTTCTTCTCGATAACAACTTGAAACAATAAAAAACAGCGGTTGAGACCCGCGTGCAAAGCGTGGCAATTTAGACAAATATGATGAGCCAATCTATGGGAAATGCCAATATTCAGCTGTAGAGGAGTTTTTGACAGGTTGTAATGAATAATTAATTAAATATGTCTTATCTTTCTCATTCAAACTTAGAGTTCTTTAATATTGTTGTGTTAGTAAAGTTTTTCAAGCACTTACTTTTAATTATATGTTTTCAAAGTTAGAACTTTTTGTTTACTTACCTACGTGCTGAAATAAGAAAAAGCAGCAACCTTGAATAAACAAAAGAAAGAGAAAAGTGCAGTAGTTTCCCATTTGCTCGGAAATGAAAAAGAAATACACAATGGCACATTTGGACCTTTGCCCAGTTTCCTCGTAATGCTTTGCTTGCAAATGTAAAATTTGTTTTCTATAGAAATCATGAGTTTAATGAGATGAATTACTTTTATTATATAATATTTTTATTTTTTTTTTGTTTTTAGTTTTTTTGATTGACAACTTTGTATTGTCGTTGCTGACGAGTAGCTTACCGTCATCTATTTGAAGTCGTAATTTTTTACAGGCATTTCCCATATTAATCTCTTATAACACACATTTTTAAATTGAAATTAATTACCAAATAGGTACTTTCGTTTTATTTCAAATTAAATTAATAGCCCAAATATTTAACACTTCCTGGTATGTGCTACCCCTTATTCCTGTAAGGGTTCTAGAACAATTATTAGTCCGCCAAGCAGCAACATTGATTGTTGGTGGACTTAATACTGTCTTAATAATAATTATTAATAGTTGTGGAAGTAAATTATGAAGAAACTAAGAACTAAAGAAGTCACTTAGTGGTGTTTTCACAAAATTTGATATTTCCTATCAAATAACATTATTTACCATTTCTTTAGTTCACATTTTTGCCAGAACTTCCATCGTGAAATACATTTTACTTTAAGCCTGAGGCTAAATATAAACTACATTTTGTAATAAGGCCGTATATTATGTCTTACTTTTTTTTCACACTCAGGGGACGGAATAGGATAATAGATTTACTTTTAGCCACTTTGACATGGCAAAAGCGTTATATTTTGTGTACATAAATAGTACGTTTTCAAGTAATAGTATTTTTTTATTTTGTTTTAGAAGATAAGCAGAAGGAAGATAAAAGCGAGAAGTCAGAAGAGCAAGCGGCGGCAAAGATCCAAGCGGCGTTTCGAGGGCATAAGACTAGGAAATCCATGAGTATGAAGGCAGCTACTAAGAAGCCGGAACCAGAGCCAACCAAAGCTGAATTGGAAGCCGAATTTAGAGCTGATGATAAAGGTAAATTTAATATTCTGTGTTTTAACAAAATCTCCCTAGTGATAAGTGGTGATGAACCCTTCATGGTGAATCGCGCTGTCTAAGCAACAGAAGTCTATTCACCCTTGCCTTGAAGACAACCAGATTGTATTCGGGCGAAGAGATAGGCGACGGAAAATTATTCCACTCATTTGCTGTACGCATTACAAAAGATAAAGCAAACCGTAAAATATACAACTCTGTGTACTCAGCCACGTAACGAAAACATCCTTCTCCAATTCAAATATTTGCAAGAATAATTTAGATTTCATACAATTACAACAAATATGATAATCATTGCTCAGATTAATTCCAGCCTTTTTAAATTCACCTCAGAACATCGCGACAAAACTCACAATACCATCCATTTATATTGGATAATTAACAGTCCATCACCGTGCGATTTACCAGAAGTTTAATTCCTCGTCTAATTTGTTTGTAGAATCGGATACCACCAGCGATTTTTCCCGACCGATACGACTTAGGGACCTTCAGGAAAGAGCCTTATAAAAGTCAAAGTAAAAGTAAAAGTACCTTTATAAAAGTCCGGAAACACACCTCAATTCCCCTCCATCCCTTATCATATTTCGCTTAACAGGGAACTCAGGAATGACAAGAAGGTTTTCATTCATTTCGTATTTAAACCATTTGTATAATATCTAGACCTACGATGGCAAGAAGTGTAAAGTCTGATCAGGTTCTGTCAAGGATTTTATCATGTCAAATCCAGGAGTCAAATTAAGGTAACAACAAAATTTACTGGGATAACAGAATAACCTGACCTGCCTTCGCAAATTTTTATTTATCTCCACCATTTGAGAATTATTATTAAATATAAAATATAAATATAAAAAAAAATATTTTTTCTGACAAAGCAATACAATATTGCTAAGTAACGTAAAATGCTTTTTGTAAGCGGTAAAACTCGTAAAAATTAGCTTTATTTCATGTGAAGTATTCGGGTAGACATAAGAGTCTACGAAGCCTGGATGCAGCAACGAGTGGAGAAACTCACTAAACACTAACAAAGATAACTACCACACACAATTCCTTTAGTTATCGCCGGACTGGGTGGGAGTGGCCATAGCGTTTTTCCCCCATACAGAACTCTCTGTCATTTCATCGGAGAAAATCTACGCACACAAACACACAATAACAATTTAAACAATAACCTAACAATTTCACACACACGTAGAAACATTAAAACCGTGTCATATAGTAGCAGCGACATTTCGTATATAGACTCGGATTAGTCGCATGACCAATCTGCATTTTATACTTGCTTGCTTGTGTTAAAAACAAACCCGAAAGAACAACTTACGTTTGCGGCAGCTTAGGGAGAGTTGAAGTTGAAGGAGACGAAGACTTTTTCTATATTACTTTATTTTCTAAATTACAAATTAACTTAACTACTTTGACAATGTAAGTACACAGAAATATTAGACTAGTTAACTTATAAAACAAACTTAATTAATACTGGACTGTCCTAACAATTATACCCTGGTTTTTATACCATATAAATTGAGTCACATCTTTAAAGACGTGCTTGTTATTACTTAGCAGCAATTAGCTGACTTCCTGATGGCACTGTGTTGAATATTCTTAAGTTACGTCATTTCCTAGTTGCTTGCAAGGCATCGGTCGGCATACGTATGCTAACACGACCGTTTTTATTGTATTTTTTAATTTCGAAAGAAGTTAATAGCGATATTGTGATTAAATTAATTAGTACCTCGATGACCTTTTAAATTACATTTAGATACAAATTACATACTGATGAAACATGTATAATATTTTTTGACCTAATTGATATAATAGATGATATAAATTTTTATTCCAAGTTTTTTTTTTATTGAAGCGAGGGCAAACGAGCATACGGTTCACCTGATGTTAAGTGACTACCGCAGCTCATGAACTGTCGCAACACCAGCGAATTGCAGGTGCGTTGCCGGCTCTTTAGAAAGGAGTAAGCTCTTTTCTTGAAGGTCCCCAGGTCGCATCGGTCCGGTAAAATCGCCGGTGGTAAACTAATCCACAGAGAGGTTGTACGCGGAATAAAACTCCTTTTGAAACGTACAGTGGTGGACCGCTAAGCATCCAGATGGTGTGGATGGTATTGCCGCGTAGTGCGTTCATGAAATTTAGTGGCTGGGATTAATCCGACATTTCCTCAGAGCACTCCCCGTAATAGATGCGATAAAATACGCAAAGATATGCAACATCTCTTCGCAGCGCCAGTGAATCAAGCCAATCGGAAAGCACTCGATCGTCGACGATTTGAGCCGCTCTACGCTGGATGCGGTCAAGTGGAGGGAGCTGGTACTGGGGAGCCCCAACGCAGAGATGGGAACAGTATTCCATGTGCGGCCGAACCTGCGCCTTGTAAAGTTGCAGGCGGTGTGCCGGCATGAAATACTGTCCCGCTCTGTTAAGCACGCCAAGCTTTTAAAGGCCAATTTGGCCTTCTCTACCAAGTGAAAACAAAACTGCACGTCACTCAATATGTCGACGCCGAGGATTCCGATGCTGGCTGAGGCAACAAGGGGAGTGCCTTGAAACATGGGAGATACGACAAGGGTTTCTTTTTAGCGGTTAACGCGCAAACTTGTGTCTTATGAGGGTTAAACTGGACAAGATTGAGTCGCCCCTAATCCGAGACTTTGTTCAGCAAAGACTCGACTTCAGACACAAGTTTATCTCAGTACTCGGAGTCATTTTTCCAAGAAATTTTGCCACGGCCGGTGTACAGGTGTTGTGTACTGAACATATCATTGGTATGCAGAAGAAAGAGCGTTGGTGATAGCTCGCAGCCTTGTGGAACACCAGCATTAATAGGCTTGTAATTGGAGTTTACACCATGTACAACGACCTTGATGCTCCAATCTGCAAGAAATCTGGTGATCCAATTACAACATTTCTCGAGAAGCCCGTAGGAAGCGAGCTTCGAAAGAAGCGCTTTGTGCCAAATCCGATCGAAGGCCTACGCAATGTCCAAATTAACGGCCAATGCTTGGACTCTACTGCCGCCGCCCATCTATGTTTAAGTTTGCACACACATTACCTCTAGAGATGAAGCACTCAATGAGATACACTTATATATTTTTCTTCAATCATGAGGCGTCTCGGCTTCTCATTTATAAACGTGTTACGAATACTCTACAGCGTATGGAATGAAACTACCAACGCGCAATTATATGATTATTAGCTAAAAGAATTCTCCTTAAGATGGGTGGTGGGTTGAGGAGCAAAATTCGTATTTAGTTTAGCAGCTTTCCTAGGAACGGCCTTTAGAATATATGCATAGTAGATTATTTTTGTATTGAAAATTTATCTTGAAAAGATTTGCATTCATTTCAGTATATTACACTCTAAACATCTGGGGGCACGGCAGTACCCCCGCCAATGCGAGTAAAAAAGCAGCACAGCCGTACCATACTTTTCTTGATGCAAATTCAGGCCGTTTTCGACCCCCTATCACTTCGTAATAGATAAAACTAGAAGACTGAATTTTCATTAACAAAGTAGGCGTTGTATAAACATGGTATATTTCAAATTTCATTCAATTTGAACTAGTAGTTTAATAATTATAACTAGTCAAAATTTCTTAATTTTGTCACTCACTGATTGACCGATCATCAAAACTCTAAGGCACTACTAGCTGATATAGAGGCTTAAAATTTAAAACACAATTAGAGTTTAGTGTATAAATCAAGGAAAAACTAAAATATTTTTAAATTTCGGTCCAGTTTTCTAGATACACCAACTGCATAAATAACTTTGTAATCCCATATAAATATATAGATTTACAAAGTTACATTTGCAGCGAATGAATCAGTGTAATTGTATAATATGTATAATAGGTGTAGATAGGTACGTTGTTAGTATTCAAGAATTAGAAGGTACCGGAAAGTTAAAAAAACTAAGACTATCGTGTCTACAAAAAGAAATGTGATGCCATCAAAACATTACTTGTAAAAAAAAAAACAAGTCTCGCAACTCAGTTCTTCTACAGTAAAAAGTTTTGAGATCCATGTAATACCAAGTCTGTTAATTTATTTAGTCCCTACTTAAGGGTCCTTCTGTTTGGGGACTTGACAATCGCATTAAGCAATCTAATTTAATATATTTTTTTTTTTTTTTTTTTTTTTTTTTTTATATATATTACTTGTGAGATACATTGGGTTTTCATGCGATGGCCAAGTCAATCTATATATTTAAAACATAACAGATTTTTAACATTGGTATGGTGACCATTTGTTATAAAATGTTGTTAGGTTAGCTAATTTCATAATAACTTAAAACAGAAGAACCCTTAAGTAGGGACTGAAGAAATTAAGAAACTGAGTTGCGAGACTTGTTTTTTTTTTTACAAGTTATGTTTTTGATGGCATAGTTTTCTCCCATAGGGGAATATTTGTTATAGTTTTCGCGCTTGGCACGATGGTTAGCACTCGCGTTATCATTATTATTGAGTTGTTATCAAGAAAATGCTGCTACACATCTCCTATTTTATTATTCTCACTGTCGCCTCTTACCGACACCCACGGGAGAATATGGGGTGGAGGATTCTCCACATCACCAATACACGTGTACGTATATCACGTTCATAAAGCTGTTATGATCAGGTAATATTTTTTTAATAATTCACTTTGCAAAATCAAGTTACATGATAATCTATAGTTTAGAGCTTTGCGTGTTGTCAACAACCTCTTCAAAGAGACTAATATTTTGTGGTTATTTATTTATAAGAATATCGTGATGTATAATGTACGAAAAAATATAAATTTATTTAATAAAAAATGGTGTCGCCCGTTGAATGGGTCGAGAGGAACGCTAAAGGCTTCTAAATATAGATTGACTATAACCAGAAATTCTTTTCTGAATAAATTCATGAAATTTTAGAATAAAGTCTCTTAAATATAATGTTACAAACATATATAAAATTAAAAAACCTTGGATAGGACATTGTCAATAAAAAATACTACAAAATAGATCAATATATTGCGGACAATGATGAATGAATGTTTTAAATACTCTTTACTTTCAAGTTCCTTAGCTACTGATCACGGAACACTATTATCGAGAGTTACTTACTGATGTTATGTAATTGAAGCTGACATTTAAAGAGAATATTAATAGAAATTGGACATTGTATTGATTTAATCAAAGTTGTAAAAGAGCTCTTTAATAGTTGAATATCTTTGTAAAAAGCTTTAGAAAAGAATTTCAGAAACTTCTAAGAAGTATTTGCAACATGGCACTTAAAATAAGACCCCAAAGTTTCTTGTCGGCTGTTCTCTTGTTTTTGAGAACCAGCGTTGATTTTGTTTACTATAAAATATTTAATTAAGCTTAAATTAAATAATTTTTTTTTAATTTGATTGATATTTTATTATTCAGCACTATGAAAAAGTCAAAAACAACTCTTATATTTTCAATCAGAAAAATGTTGAATTTAAATTCAGGGTTTATAAGTGAATTTATTTTGTTTTGATTTGATGTTTAATATAATTTTGTTAACTCGTAATATTTTCAAGAAATTTACATGGGTCATCATTGTTAAAACCCTTCATTAGTCCACTGCTGTATATAGGCTTTGTCCAAGATATGCCACAAAGCATGGTTCTGATCTACGTGCATTCATCGACTTCCTGCATCTTTTAGCAGGTCAGCACTACGTCTCGTTGAAGAGTTTTCCACGCTATATGTACCGGTACAAGGCTGTCAATTCAGAATCTTTCTTTCTCATCAGTTGCTGTTTCATTGATCTATAGGTCTGATCCATTACCACTTCAACTTACTGATACGTTTGGCTAGCCGAGCATAGCCCTCTACATATGCTTGCTGAGCGACGTTGAGCTTTCTAATTTCGTCAACATCTCAAAGAATCAGGTCAAAGGACCAAGTCACACATACTTATGTCATCACTATAAGTACTCGTATAAGTGCACACTATTGTATTTAAGCTTTGAGGTATACGTGACGAGATGTGTCATCATCTCCCGAACACTACTCAACCGAGTTGCATCCGTTTTTTTTTTTTAAATCGATAAACGAGTATATAAGTCTTATTTATTCCTTATTGTTTAAGAAAATTTCTTACTGGCTACACATGTTTTCCTTCCTCAATATTGAAACACTTTTTAATATCCTATAAAATAATGAGACTTGAATTACTCCTTGTATATATATATATATATATATATATATATATATATATATATATATATATATATATATATATATATATATATATATGTGATAAAACTTTTAATTTTATACAAGATGGAACAATGCCCCATCGCATTTAAGAAGTGTTCGAGGATAAATTTGTTCACGAGGAAATTGAGTGGCCACCACGCTTCCCTAATTTGAATTTCAGTGACAATTTTAATCAAAAATTACGAGTAAGGAATATTTTTATAGTTAGAGTTACATTTAAAAAATATATTCTCAACGTTACATGTGCATTTCATATGAAATATTACAGCTTTTAAATAGCTTTCATCAAACGAAAAACTCTAAAATCAAATATGGGGAACACAGCGGCCACTCAATTCCTACGTGAGAAAATTCTAGTTCGAACACTTCTTTAGCAATGGGGCGCTGCTCAATCTTGTATAAAATTAAAAGTCTTAACCATTGAAGTCTTTTCAAAAGGGAAGAAATTTCTAACAGCTCTATACAATTATTTATAGTGACCATTGAAATCACAAAAAAATATTTAATATCTTTTACGGACAAAGCTGCCCATATAACCTTTTACCTTAGCAAGATTTTACCTTAGCAAGAAGAATTTTAATGTCAAAATGTTAGGATTTTCTGTACTCTAAAGCCAATAACTACTAATAACAATTAATAATAATAGTATACTAAAGTAACGATTTCCACAAAATTTAGATTTATATAGTCTAAGTACGAAAGTTTGTTCACAGTTAGTCAGATAAGATTAAATCCATCTTAGTAATACGTCATGTGCTCCTAATTTATGTATTACTCTGTTTCCCCTTAGATCTCTGTGACGCTGCTACCAAGATTCAAGCTTCGTTCCGAGGTCATCAGGCTCGCAAGCAAAACCAGGAGGAGAAAGATAAGGAGCAGCAGGATAAGGTAACAGTTGAATTCAATTGTAAACATTCCATCATAGTCCTTAGAGATAACAATGTATTTGAATTTTGATTCTTAATCAGGGCTAGATGTAGGTGTCGATGGACTAGTGCTTAGCCTTAACTTAGTTAATAAAATTGACTACATTCATGCTCGGCAGAGAAAAACCCTACATAACAGAGCTATTAGGAGAAAGAGGACATGATGTAGTGAATTTCTTGAAAATCACTGGAGCAGCATGCCAAAACTAACTCTTTTATAACCTGCTGAAATAAGAGGAAGCCATTGCTTAGTAATAAGAAATTTAAAGGCTGTCATTTTACTATTTTTTAAGAATGACTACAAATTATTGATGATAACAACTCGAACAAATGCTTTAAGAAATGTAAAATATAACACTACGTTGGGTACAATTTCCATAACTTTGTTAAGCTTTATATTACGTACTTTAGAATGAGGTACTCTCTTAAATGTCTAAAAATTTTTAAGTAAATTGAAATAGAGTTACAGCCTTTATACGTCTTACTCCTTGCCACCTTTAATTTCTATTATTTTAATGATATATTATATTAATGATAAGTGAATGTGTTGAAAATGTTTGGATATGTATTATATACGTAATATACTATTAGTATCCACATAATTATCAACAAATTTATTTTCGGTACGTTAATCATTTATTGATGGCCGTGTTTCAAACCCTGGAAAAAATGGTTTGAATAGCACGCATACGGCATAACCAAATAATTTTCTCTTTGCATTTACTTATACATCGCTTCTTGGCCTGGATAATTAGTGTGTTATTTGAAAGTTTCACCTGTTGGTGACAACTATTGAATACTATTATAATACACAATAGAATAGCTGTCAACCTTATTTTGTGCGAAGATAGGTGACACCTACCTTACGGCACACATACAAACAATTATGTCGTATTATCAGTTAATCACTACTACAAACCCGATTCGCTGTGTTGATAGACGGATTTTAATACATATTTATTTGTAAATAGCGTCCATTTTATCATTTTCTAAATAATTTGAATGCAAATTTTGGAAACGCTTGTAACCTCAAACCACATATCGTGTTGACATTTATACGTGTGAATTGATGTATTAGTGGCATTTTAGTGGCTACACGGGCTCTGCCCACTCCCCCGTTCTATTATGTATGTATTATAGTATTCTATGGTGACAACTAAACAATAGCGAAACTTAAAACAATTCGAAATTTTTAAGCGAAATTTTGAAGTGAGGTACTAAGCATTTTTCTTCATTTTTTTATTTGCAGGAAGACATCGAAAATATTGATCTGGAAGATCCGGAATTGAATAAAGCAGCGACCAAAATTCAAGCGTCTTTCCGCGGCCACAAAGTTCGCAAAGACGTCACTAATTAATTGATTAAATATTTATTAGAGTTCAGAAGAGCACTTTTATTTCGTATGTACTATCAAACTATTTTATGTAGTTTAAAAAAGTTTATTTCAAAACTCCATTAATTTAAAAATATTGTTTCTATATTTTATTTTATTTGCAGAAATAAAATCAGCAAAATAAATAATGTACATACGATTTAATATGGTTCTGTAATATTTATTTTAATAGTAGCTATAAATCAGTAAACACTAGGTATATCAATTCCGTAAAGACAGAATTAAATAATAATTGTTTCTCTTGGCCCATTTTAAAGCTTCAAAATTGAATTAACTACTCATGTGTGAAAATGAATAAATTAAAATAACCATTTTAGTCAGTTTCGTCTTTACTTATATTGAAATCAATACTTTGTATTTTTTTAATTTCTTAATATTGTGTAGTTCTGACATTCCACTTAGCAATCCCTTTGTTAAATATTAAAAAAAATCCATTCTTTTTATTACATAGATCTAGTCGTTGCAATTAATCGCTTGTTGTTTGTTATTACTGATTATAGTACTCGTAATATTCACACGTTATATTAATATTAATTGGTGTTTCGTTATTTAAACGCAAGTGAAAATATAATACCATTTTAGTAATGAATCCTGTACCATAATAAGTTTTGCTTTTATATTCGTATCATTAACAATATCACCACGGATAATTATGTCGGTATTTTAAGGGTTTATATTAAATACTATAATATTTAATAATTGCCTGTAGTCACAATTGTTTTATTTTAACTCCCTTTATTTACAGAAATTCAAACAAATTATAATTCCAATTTACAGGCCTTTAGCCGAATTCAAAAAACGAGGAGGTTCTCAATTCGACTGTGTGTGTTTTATGTATATCAATATATATCTTTATGGTTAACTAATATTGATGATTTTTTAAATAAAACACATTCAGGGGTAATCCTACAGAATCGAAAAATAGGGTATTAAGTTTTTGATGTTGAGCGATATCCTAGATGTTACTTTGAACTTATGATATACCTTGATCCACACATACAACTATCATCATGATCACATTTCTTCCCCAATGGTTATCTGGTGGAGAATGCCTTTGCGGCATTAAGTTCGCCTTTGTACTAAATAAATTTTTTTGAGTTCAATAAATAAATTTCTATCTATCTATCTATCATTATTACGGCCCTTTACAAGTCCACTGCTAAAAATGGGCCATCCACAAGGAATTTCACAAAACACGGTCCTGAGCCGTCTGTATTCATCGACTTCCTGCACGTTTTACTCGTTCTTCACTCCATCTAGTGGGGGGCTGCCCTACACTTTGCCTACAGGCACGAGACTGCCACTTGAGAGCCTTTCTTCCCCAGTGGTTGCCTGTTCTTCGAGCTAGACGGCCGGCCAACTGCCACTTCATCTTACTGATCCTAAATTTAACAATCTAATTTAATCAACTATAAAGAATAATTACTTCATCATCATCATCATCATTACAGCCCTTCACAAGTCCACTGCTGAACATGGGCCTCCCCCAAGTAATGCCACAAAGCACGGTCCTGAGCCACCTGCATCCATCGACTTCCTGCATATCTTACCAGGTCGTCACTCCATCTAGTGGGGGGTCGCCCTATACTACGCCTACCGGTACGAGGCTGCCACTCGAGAACCTTAGAACCTTTCTTCCCCATCGGTTATCGGTTCTTCGAGCTATATGGCCGGCCCATTGCCACTTCAGCTTACTAATCCGTTGGGCTATGTCGGTCACTCTGGTTTTACTGCAGATATCCTCATTTCTGAGTCTATCACGCAGAGAAACTCCGAGCATAGCCCTCTGCATAGCTCGCTGAGCGACCTTGAGCGTCCTCATACGCCAGCAGTGAAGTGCAGTGGACCACCTCTCAGATCCGTAAGTCATCACTGGCAACACGCACTGGTTGTACAATCTAGTTTTTAGAGATTGAGGTATACCTGACGAGAATATATGTCGTAATTTCCCGAACGCTGCCCAGCCGAGTTGAATCCGTCGATTGACCTCTCGGTCGAAGTTGGACTTACCTAGTCGGACTATTTGTCCCAGGTAAACGTACTCGTCAACAACTTCGAGCATAGTGCTCCCAACAACTACCGGCATAGGTGTGACATGGACATTGAACATGATCTTTGTTTTATCCATGTTCATCTTAAGACCTATCCGTTGGGAGACACTATTGAGGTCATTGAGCATAGTGTTTAAGTCCTCCAGCGATTCTGCCATAAGGACTATATCGCCGGTAAATCGAAGGTGAGTGATGTACTCGCCATTGATGTTAATACCGTATCGTTTCCAGTCCAGTAGCTTGAAAACGTCTTCTAATGCAGCGGTGAAGAGTTTCGGGGATATAACGTCACCCTGTCTTACACCTCTCTGCAGTTGGATAGATTTCGAGCTCTGGTTCTGTACTCGGATAGCCAACGTAGCCCTACTGTACATACACTTCAGCTCTTCGATATACCGGCAGTCAACTTGGCACCGCTGAAGGGACTGTAGCACTGCCCAAATTTCGACGGAATCAAAGGCTTTTTCATAGTCCACATACGCCAGGCAAAGTGGTAGATTGTACTCTTCAGTCTTCTGTACAATCTGCCGCAGGGTATGTATGTGGTCTATGGTACTGAAGCCTTTTCGGAAACCGGCTTGTTCGGGAGGCTGGAAGTCGTCGAGTCTGCGTGCGAGACGATTCGTAATGATTCTCGAAAACAGCACGTAGACGCGGCTCAGAAGGGAAATCGGTCTGTAGTTCTTTAAGAGAGCGTTGTCGCCTTTCTTAAAGAATAAGACCACCGCACTTCTGCTCCACGCCTCTGGAATAGTGCCACCATGGAGGACGGAATTGAAGAGCCTCTGAAGGACTTCAAGTACCGGTGCTCCACCCGCTTTCAGAAGCTCCGCTGTAATTCCATCCTCGCCTGGGGCCCTGCCGTTTTTAAGGTGCTGGAGAGCCATTCTAATCTCGCTTAGACTGACGTCCGGGATATCATCGGAATAGTGTCGGATAAGACTTGCTCTTGGATCGTTACTCTCACTTGCGTGTGGCTCCAACGATGATGTGTACAGCTGCCCATAGAACCTCTCAATCTCACTCAAAATCTCAGGTGTCCCGGAAACGATGCTGCCACACTCAGTCTTCAGCTTTGACAGTTGGCTCTTACTGGCAGACAGATCTCTGGCAAAGACTTTGGAGCCCTGGTTCCGCTCGATCGCTTCTTTAATACGAGGAGTATTAAAGTTGCGTAAGTCTCGCCGCATGCATTTGGAGATCTGTCTGTTCAGTTGCCTGTATGCTGTCAAATCTGTTGACGATTGCAGCCTCATCTCCCGTCTAACAGCCATGAGATTAAGAGTGTGATCGGAGAGTTTTTCTGTTCTTCTGCGGCGGGTCTTGCAGAACTTAGCTCCGACCGCATGGACAGTTTCCACGAGCTTGTCATTCATATCGTCCATTGAATTGCAATCTTGTAGGCACTGAAAGCGGTTACGTAACTCGAGCTGAAAGTTTTCGGGATTCTGGATTAGAGCACGAGGGGGACGGAGCGTTGACTTCATTAGACGAGACCTCTCCAACTTAACGTTTAGGTTAATTACTTAAACTGTACATTTTGGAAACCCCTGAAACAATAAGAGATGATGATCTTCAAACCGCTGAACCAATTTTGATAAAACCATCTGACATCTAAGAACCACCGCTAGAAAACCTGCTTTTAAATAAAATAAAAAAAACTGTAACCAAATCGATTCACATTTTTGAGAGCTACGGTGCCACAGATAGGTGATATTGATATTGCGATCAAACTATAACAACCCTCGTTTTGCGTTGGGGATTAAAATTACTTTGAACTAAATAAAAATGCCAACTTTGAAGAACTTTACACTCTTTTACGCGATAGAGCCATTTAGTTATATTACGGTAGTAGCACGAACGGGTCGACTCAACGGGCAAAGACAACACTCTTATAGAATACCAACGTGAAAAAGCAGCTTAACTATGCTGTGTTTATATTGTGACTATAGAGAATCGGAGACTGATTTTACTGAAAACGATGAATTAAGCGAAGACAAGGTTCTTGACAAAATAAATATAGTGTGCGAATATGTGACCTCAATAGGTCAATTCTTTAAAAGAAGTTAAACGATCACGTCACCCACCAATGATTGTATATATACAGATTATTTTGATTTATATACTCTACTTAATACCACTATAATACCAGATTATACTTACAAACAACTTAATACAAACAATAATACCAGAAAAAATACGAATGTTCCATTCAAATTTGTTGAAAGAAAAACGTTGAATTTTCATCTCCATTTAGAAATATAAAAGGTAACGTTAATGTTTGCGAGTACAAAGAGAAGCAAGGCAAAAGCGTAGGTGTAATTTTATATTACAATAATATTTCGGGGGATCAACTTATATCAACACGAAAAATGTTACAAAATTTGACAATTTTTTTTCATATATAATTTAAAAATTTTACTGCCTTATTAAGCGAGTTTAAAAAAACATAGTTTTGTATACGACGCATATGTTTATTTTAATTATGTTTACCGATGTCTCGGAATAAGATGATTCATCTTCAGGGAAGGTAATATACTAGTGCAGCCCTTCACAAGTCCACTGCCGAACATGCCTCTTTAGAACCTTTCTTCCCTATTGGTTGATAATTCTTCGAGCTATATGGCTGGCTCGTTGCCAATTCAGCTTACTGATCCGCTGGGTTTTGTCAGTTACTAGTCTTGTTCTTCTGCGCCAGACATAGCCCTGTCCATCGCACTCTAAGTCACTGAGTTTCCACATAGAAGATTTCACATGAAAACGTCTTCCAATGCAGCGGTAAAGAGTTTCTGGAATATAACGTCACCATGACTTATACTTTTTTGCAATTGGATAGGATCACATGGTGATATGATGTAGTGAATATTCCTACACCGCCTTCTTCATCATCTTTGACGATATATATTTTATGGT